GCGGGGCCTTTGCTGTCTAGATGTTCTGTAAATTCTACCCGTTCCTTCCGAGTCGTATCGGGCGATTCGTAAACCCGGAGGTGTAAGGTTTGCTCATAACCATGCGTGACCTTGAGCGGCGTCCGTTTCCGAGAACTGATACCTTGCCCGTATGAAGAAGGGCGGTCTTGTTGAACTTTGTTTGAGAGATGAGCGACCTCGAATTTCGGTTCCAAGAGATATTCCAATCTATAAAGCTCGTAGACTCCCAACCTATACCTCATCATGAACATTGACCCGTCTAGCAAAACAATTTCGAAAGTTGCGAGATAAAATGGCCTTCGGATCTGTCCTGTGTCCCGATTTTATCTGGGATTGTAGCCCCATAGCCGCGAACAGCGAGACCATCATCATGGTCTGATGAGGTGATACATTTCTCTCCACCGGACAACCGCGTGGCCGTTTTGTTGTCATCTCATCCTCCCACCCCACTCGTACCGTACTCCTGCATGGACAACACATCGGAGAACGTGTCCCCAGGTGATTGTGGCGCCATCCTGTGCACCCCGGTCGCGCTTGGTTCGAGGGTCGCTCCGACGGCCACAGAATTCAACACAAGCCAGCAGGCAGCGATCCTTGGCAGGCAAAAGACCATGCGGTCCAGAAGCCAACTCACCCGCAGGGCAAGGATGGGCTGTCAGTCATTGGAATACACGGAGGCCTCGAAGCGTTGTCCCCGAGCCTGAGCAGCACGCAGGGGACTGTGCGGATGAAATTGAGCCAAAGCTGCCTCCGGGGAACCGGAATCCACCCGGGCTTAGTTTCATCGAAAGATGTGTCGAGCTCCCGACGGGGACGTCAGCCTATCGGTTTGGATTTCACGACCACTGGGACCAGGCCAACAAACAGGCCGTCGTCTGAGCGATGTGAATGAGTGTATTAGAGCGTCACGTGATAGTGGGGTTGGGCGTCGCAGAAAGCCCGGGGCACCGCCCGAGACCTAACGGGACATGGGCTCTAGGTCCATACGTCGACTGGCCTTTGCTGCGCTGTCCAAGAAGACAAGCACTGCCCGCTTTTGAGATAGAGTACTCCGAACTGGAATCCACGTGCGTGTGTAATCGTCAAGGTAGTCAAGTACTTCTTGTTTCAGTCGACCTTATAGGTTCCGTATGAGCATGTTCTCTTCCTCCTCTTCGATGTCGGGTGGGGATCGATGGTCGGGAGGCCTCTCGGAGCGTAATGAAAGTCACCGTGAGATGGGAAGTCTCGCGAGGAGCAGATTGCAAGAACACTTCGCCAGTAATTCGCGGAAGAAAGGGGCCACTTGCTCCCTTATTATTAGGAGCACGTGACGACCTGGCCTTGGCACTGCTGCCCCATACTTTAGCTTCTCCCGAGCACTTACTTACATACTCTCTATACAATCGATGAAACCAATTCCACACCAATTCCCGGCTGCGGAAATAGGCGAAGAATCTCTTTGGAGTCTCGTCGAGTCTCAAACCCCTGGCAGTTGACAAGACGTTTGAATCGGCTGTTCGTGGAAGCGAATGACGACAACGAATGTATGTCCAGGCAGTTTAAGATCGTCGTCATGATTTCCAGCGGTAGTTTCTCGCAGTATTCGGAAGAGTTCGGAGCAGGGGCCCATGGGTCATAGGATAAAGTGCGTAGAGAGTCGGTGATCCTGGATTCTTGAGTAACGCTGTTCACAGGACGATCATTGAACCTAAACTGGTCCATCCAAAAACTTGTTGTTTCTATGTCCCCCTACGGGAGGACGGCGATTCCCGAGTCGACGTCCACAAATACTCCATCCATCGCAGACATGGATGGTGGTGAGGAGAGCTCAAATAGAACAACCAGTAGGGTAGAATTATCGAGATCCTGTCATTGAAATGTTACAGTCAGTACATCGAGATCGGACAGGTGCCCTTGTCTCCCATGTCATTGGAAAAAGTTGCTGTACAGTACCTTGTATTCCTTGAACAGCTGCTCTACACTCGACCCGTCACCCGATGCCAACCACCGCTCTCTGGGATCTTGTGGCCAGTAACCAGTCACCAGTCGCAAACTCTCCTTCCGTTGATTCTCAAACTGGCGGAGAGAATCCAGTTCCGGAAGCCACATACAACTAGATACAAACGCGGTCAGAACCCACGAGCTCAAACACCCGCTCCAAATCGTTCTGGCGAAATTGAACGTGCAGCATACAGTACCAGCCGGTGCTTGGATGGCCATATCGATGGCCCACTGTTAGGGGTGGGGGGTTCAGCACGGTTTTTCCTAGATTCTTGCGTAGCATCTCTTTAGCTGGATGGATGTGTGGAAGTGCTCAATGTTTGGATTTTAGTGGGAGAAGCAAGGACTAAGCTGCTTGAGGGTGCGCGGTCGTGGGAGACGACCCTTTACATAGGCACAGAGTACTAGTCGTCGGATTCATATAGGGCGTTGGCGAGAACCAGGCTTCCTGCTGCCTCCCCACATCAGCGGTTCGTGACACTTCCAACTCAACGCCTTCGATCCTTGCCTGCAAACGATTCCTTCTTTCGACATTCCTTTACTGGTTTTTTGTCTAAATCAACTAACTTAACTCCAAAGGCTCTCCGAAACTTGTCCTCCATCAGGCTCTTCGCTATGTCTAAGTATAATTTGCTGTTGATATTTCGTTGCGGCGTTGCGCGGCATGGGCTTGTCGTTCTTTGCCTGAGTCCTCGGATTGACAGTTGGAACGAGGCCATGGAGCCTCACTCCCATGTGGTGATTGCTCGAGCAAAAGTGATCGCCGATGACCCGAATCGTCATCGTACCACTTCAGGACGCTCTTGAAGACACCTTTGACAAGGCGATATCGTAGAATCCGGGGACCGCGCGGGTTAGATCCGATGCCACTGCCTCGCCAATAACACAAGGTTTACCTGTGGCGAGCCCACTGACGTCGTCCTCGGACAGCGACTTCATCGTGTCGTTCTCAAACGGTCGGCCGCTGGTGGGAAATATGTAGTTGTACTTCAGAGGGCTGCAAGCAAGCTCTTTCCGCAGTCGCAACGCACTAGCAAAGGCCTCCGACATGTCCCGCTCCCACGAATCGAACTGCTCAGAGCGTGACATCGCCGATCTACCCGGCGTTGCGAAGACTGAATCGGCCAGTCTGAAGTTTTTGAGATCGTCGGCGAGTCTCCGTGTAAACCCAGCGGCCAGCTCCGGGATAGACGTGTCGAAGCGCCACTGAAGATACTCTAATTTCATGACTTGAATGGCCTGGTTGTGAGGTGGGGCACTTCTGTCCGGCGCGGAGTCTTAGCTAAAAGCGTGAAAAAGGAAAACGCGCAAGGCGCGTTCAAAAACTTACTCTCTAGAACAAAGTTCGACTTTGTGCCTCGCAATTCCGTTCCAAGCAGTGAGTCAATCAGCAAGTCAAAGTCCAGATAGATCCACTTCATGATGGCCGCGGCCGCATAGCCGCGGAGAAAGTCGGCCACAGAGATGCTGCGGTGCGAGCAGAGGATTTCGAGGGCCTGTCTGATCCCGTCGGGGTCTCGGCTCGCAACGAGAAGCCCACAGAGTCTGATTGTGTCATCCCTCATCTTGTTGACCGTCACGTCGCCAAACGACTTGGCCGGCATGTAGTGATCAATTGCCTTCTCGCACTTGGATTCGATTTTGGCCAGAATGTCGACAATATCCGGATGACTAGGTACACTCTTGCGGCGACCGTGCACAAGGATCAATGTGAATGATGAAATATCATTCTCGAGCCCCTCATAAAGGTCTGGCAAGCCCGCAGGTGCCCCCCAGTCAGGTATCGCCCGGGGGAACTCCTGCCTCGTGGGCGAAGCCATCCGGGTTCTCGCGAGTATTCCTGCTGTCGGATTCACCTGGCAATCTCGGCGTCGGCCTGCCTCCAGATCCGGGGTTGAGCGGCGAGGTCGATCGTTGGCTTCGAGCGGGCGGGTATGGAGTGACTTCGCTCGCGTTCTTGTTTTTAGACTTGGAGCCGTTCGTCGTCGCTCAGGGCCGCGCCTACCAAGTGGAGAGAGGAGGGTTTGCTCGAGGCGAGCGGATCGCAACGCGCTTTTGCCCGGCGGCAGGCTCCACAAGCTTGCCCTGGTATTTGGGTGCACGAAATTTTCCTTTGTGTACATCGTTGACAAGGTGCCCTTTTTCTTGCATCTCGAGTGGTTCGTGGCCGGTCGGACATTGTGCGTCGCCCTCAGGACCGCGCCTGCCGGGTGGAGAGGAGGGTTTGCTCGAGGCGAGCGGATCGCAACGTGCTTTTGCCCGGCGGCAGGCTTCACAAGCTTGCCCTGGTGTTAGGGTGCACGAAATTTTCCTTTGTGTACATCGTTGACAACCGCCGTTGTCTGCGCTCATGGTTGAAAGGGTGACAAAGCTCAAGGTGAAAGGTGAAGATGGGATCGCAGGCGGAATTGAAGTCTGGGTGCTATTCAATTACAGTGTCTAACTCGAAGTGTGCGAGGCAGGAAGTGTTTTCGTGACTGTGCATCGTCGTGGTTGAAGTGCGTGAGAAATCAACATCATGGTAAGATGCCCTGTAATACGTAACGTGGCATCATCAGCTCTCAAAAATCTGCTACCTGCACTTCGCAATGGTGGAGGAATGGCAGATTCAAGATTCGGGGCCAAATAAGGATGCTTCAGCGACCTAGTCGCCAAGCTCTACTCACCTGACACGTAGAATCGACCCCTAAGCTCCCAACAGCCATCCCTTGCTACCGGGTTCAGAATGGCTAAAAACATAAAGACAGAATAAGTTAACTTAAGCCATTGAAAATCCTTGTCCGACGTGACCATGACTTTCAGCACGCGCTCCTCACGCGTCGTGAAACGCGTGAGGTAGACCTTCCTAATCGGGAGCCCACTACCGTCGGCAGTGTCACCCCCCAGGACCTTCGCAGCTTTCCTTCTCCAGTGAATGCTCGTCTCTCTATGTCCACGGATAATCCATTCCGCCCCTCTCAGGCCTCTACCTTGAAAACTCCCTGTTATGCGCCGCCATGCCTGCGACCAAGCGCCGTCGCGTGGAGGATGGGACCACAGTCCTAGCCGTAACCGAGAATGAAGTTATCAGGTGAGCGTCGTCGATGCTATAGCCGTTCGTATTTACTGACGGCCGCGTGTAGCGACTTCCAAACCCCCATTGTCTCCCTCTATGTAGGAAACCAGGATACGCCCTTCCTCGTCCATCATGGTATTATCTCTAGGGAATCACCGCACCTTCAAAGGGCCGTGGAGGGTGATTTCAAAGAGGGGACAGAAAAGAGGATCGACATGGCGTCGGATGATCCTGAAGCTATGAAACACGTGATTGATTGGATGTACACTCACCGCTTCTCATGGCCCGCCGAACCCTACGCTCGAATTATGGTTGCCGTGAAAGTCTTTGTGCTGGCTGACTTCCTGTTGATGAAGACCCCGCTCGCAGAGATAAAGGAGGTTATCAAAGTCTCATTCTGGGACCTCGATGGCTCGCGCGAGACTATACCCATCTTTCCGGACGCGGCCTACCAGACGCCATTGTCCGAAACTCTGCTTCAGGCGTTTGCGAGATACATTCGCAAGTATCCTGACATAAAAGACTCCGTGCTGGACACCTTTCAAGACCTCCGCTTCGTCAGGAATATGGCGTCTGTCTTTGCCGCCGGCAAGACTCCAGAGGAGGACAGCAAATATCTTTGGCGCTCAATACGCTAGCGCGAACTAATTCACGTTACACTCGTCGAGGTGTTTGGCAAATCACACCTCATCTAGGTCTAGACATATCACCCGAAATATCAGGAATCCGCGAACGGGTTGTGTCCAAGCCGGCGGAACATAAGGGACAAGGACCCAGTTGCATCGGATTGGCAGCTTCGATTACCCCAGCATGGCTCCGACCCTGCCGAATCACCACCTCGCCTATACCTAAGGGGGACTTCATATGCCTTCACCTCTTTTCAAACATTCGACCATATATCCTACGGCCTTGCCCAAGAGGCGATTGATGATATTGGACGACTGGTTTGCAGCAGACGTGAACGACATCCTCAAGGCACCACATGTGAATGCAAATACCAAGATTCTATGACTATGACCATGTGCAATGCATGGATACAACCCTTTCTTCTCCGTCATGGCGATAGAGCTTCTCCGTCCGGAAAGTGATCGTGGTCCCACTAGAATTGTTTTCCGCCGTACTACGTACACCTTTCCCACCGACGACGACTATGGTCAGGTTATGATCTCCCTGTTTCAAATCTGTCGTATATTCCAAGCCTTCCTCGAACCTAGAGTACGGCCACAAAGTGACAGAACTTGCTTGGAAAGTCAGGTCATGGAGTTTACACGCGGCCTAGAGCCTAATCTATTCATCTGGGAAGCGACTTAGAAACAGCCTACCGTCGAGTATTGATCACCTCCGAAAGGAAAATTGAAGATGATTTGAAAAATTGAAAATGATCCGGCCCATCATCATTGACCATGTATTGAAGAGCTATAGCCCTTGTTGTATAGAATCGTAGCGAAGATTATCTTTGGGATAAAAGTCAAGCCTCATATAGAATTTGACATGGCCGAAAACGGAGCGAGATGTAAGTTTATGCTTCTAAGTTAGTAAGTTAGAGGGCATAGAGGGTCGAGAATCACCTTTCTAGGACACCTAAGCAGGTTGGCCGTTATTCATGGGAAGAGCTTAAGATTCCAAAGACATTCTGTCCCGTCCACACCTCCAAATATGTATCTGCTAGTTATGGTTACCGTCAGTGTTGAATATGGGTCAAAGAAGAAACTCGCTGATACTGGATCGTCAACCCGCCACTTTCATCGCCCCGCCCATAATGAGAGAGAGAAACGTCCCGTGTGGAACAGCTCCGTCGAGCCGAGCAAGCCCGACCAGTGGTATATCTGTTCTAAATTATAGCAGTGGAAGCATAAATTGTTATTCTTCTTCTTCTACTTCCTCAGGATGTAGGAGCATACAGTATATATACGCTAAAGTAATATAGTAGAAGCTTCCCTATCATAGTCGGTTGAGCCTTGTATTACAACAGTTCCATCGTCCTGAAGCGCGAATTCTAACCCTACCGCAAAACGAGATTCCACGGTCTCCTCCGCAACGCCAACGATACGAGAGACCACGCCCTCTAGCGTCTTCATTCCGCCTATCGATTGACGTCGATGGTGGACACCCTCTCCGCGCCAACGGCAGTTTAGTCCCTTTGCTCGATCAACTTGGCGACAAAAACGACGGTCTCGAAGCCCCAGCCGAAAAGTCCGCGACGGGGCAAGGGACGATGTTGGTCACTTGTCGCGTGTGATATTCCGGGTGGTTCGGAAGATTCTTCGTACAACGTACACCTACGAATGGACCTGGCACGGTATCGACTGCCCCTCCCCCTGACGGACGCGTGAAGGCTACTCGCTCTTCCCAAATCCATAGTCCACAATGTTGACCGGGGGCACTCGCGTGCGACGGAGCGACGGCGACATTCCGTATCAAGGTTTTCGTAAGGCATCGATAGATCCGCAACTCAATCTGAGGAACTCGTTATCATGGACATCGTCGACAGGCTTGGACTCGAATTGGCGCTATGCAGGGTCGATGAGAGCTCTTTTAACTAATGATCCACTACTCGAGCTAGATAAGCGGGTCGAAGGCATGGCGAGGGAATTCGGGGAGAAGGTAGATCAAAATCACAAACCACGACAGAAAAATGCCTAAAGTCGCCATATTTCCTTCTGAAAAGTCTTTACAAGCTGTTCGAATGCCTGAACACTTCAGAGTGCATGAACAACGCTTCGACTTTAATAACGACAACCCCAAGTTCACGGAACCACAATAACGAGAGCATCCCTCACATGTTTGTCTAACTAGGCCTGGAACGGAAGTTGACGCCATCCTGACAGAAAGCGAATTCCCCTTTCTGGCCGAGATCCTTTTCGCGTCCGAGAGGATCTCTAGACTGAATGCCATCCAGTGAAACCAATCAATTGAAAGGCACTATAGGTCTAATATACCTTGCGGAGTGTTTCTTCTGCACCTAGATCTATGCCTTGGGATTTTTCCATCGCGGCTACCAGAACCCTAGTCCCCTAAGAGATAGATATCAACTAGGCGCGCTGTCGCTGGCCGTGGGATCGTCTTGAGGATCTGTGCTGCCCTGGTAGCAGTACGGGATCGCCCCTCCCAATGGAAGTCTGCGATGGACGGCTCTCTGACAGATCTCAGAGACTTTTAAAGGTTGATCCCCCTCAGGCGTCCAGAAGGAGGAGAAACGGGTCGCCCGATGGTTCCCTTTCGGATTTGGCCCTTGCGTTCTTCCATCTTTCCCTGTTGATGCTCTGCCTGGTGTGCTTCGTCGGCAAAAATCCACAAGCCAGAGGGTTTCAACGCCTCGGAATACCGATGTGCAAGTGTGCGTCGCTCTTGGCGGTAGGCCTCAACGCGATGTTCGGATTCTTCCTCCTCGCTCGCCACGTCGACCTTCCAATACCACGACGGTAGCTTTGGGCGCGGTGGGGTCCACCCGGGCCGGGGGAGAAAGTGCTGGAAGTAGAGTGACTCGCGAGGCAGACTCCTGAACGGCCTACGAGTTCGCTTGGGTCGAGAGCCCCGGACTTGGGCCATCCGGCGTGGAACGTTCGATGGTCTGGTCGGAGTTGACCTTTCTCGGTCGGAGACCTGTGTTCCTCTCGAATGTCGGTCCGTGGGGACCCCGTGGAGTTGTCCTCGTCCTATGGTACCATGAACCTTCGTAGAAGGCGGTCGTCGCTCTCGTGGAGAGCCGGGGGAATTCATCTTCCAGCGCGGAGAGATGCCGATTGTAGGGTTACGGGAATATCGACGGTCGGCGGGGAAAGAAAGTAAAGGATGAAGGAGAGTTTTATAGGATGGGCGATGGCTGCACCCGTACGCCTGCAAGGAGTGGGAGGCTCCACTGTCCAGATGGCTGCCTAAGTGAGAATGAGACCCTGTGCTATGACCCGGTCCTGCCATCGTCTCGTCCCCTCAGCCAACTTAGAAATCATCTCGAGTGTATAGCGACACCCCTATCATGCCGCAGCCTTTCTTCCTTTTCGGCAAACAGCTTCATTTTTATTTACGTGGTCAGTTCCCTTCAGCGGTTTTGATTCGACTGTCCTCGACGTGCCTTTCTCTTTCTCCAGATATTGCAGATAGGAGGTATCATACCTCCCAGTTCATGTTAATGGCGCTGTTTGTCTTGCTGGAATCGTCTGCGCAAGGACAGGGTCTCCTGGCATGGGTGAACTTCCGCGGATGGAGCCCAATTCATCTTTCAAGGCCCGGGCATATCTCCGCTACCATCCGTTCAGTTGTTGAACCATAAAAGGTCGTACAGTACGGAAATCTCAATTAAAAGTGAAATTTTGACCCGTTTGGAGGGCCTTCCTCAAATCGTCCGAGGACAAGCTTCACTACGCACTCGACTGCCTAACGCTAGATGGATAGCTATGGCGGATGTGTCTCTCTAATCCTCAGGGCTTTAACATTTGCGGAAAGACTCCTTGGAGAAAGTGGGCCACAGCATGTTATCCGGAGTTATACTATCCTCGTGTATCCGAATACTGAAATTTCAGAAGAGCACAAGAAACTCCATGGATTTGGCTGACATTACGGCCTTCACCAGACATGTGAACACGTATCGAGAGCAGTAATTGACACAGATGACGATGTACCTCACATCGAAACGAGAAATCGGCACGAACGGACCGATATAGTCAACCCCTCCAACAATCCATCGGTTGTGGCAACTGAATCGGCAAGAGCCAGATGGTAGGGGTGAACTTGGACTGTTGTACGAGGAGACGTGTATTTCTCGTATGATACTTGGAAGTGAGGTAAAAGGGAGAAGGTTGAGCAGTGCTCTTATTGCTACTAGACAGCTCTCTGCTCTCTAGCCTAAGGAGGCCGCCGTAGAGTCTCTACTCCTTGATGGCCAATTCTCTGCCCGCCCGCTTCCTATTGCTCTTATTCTTACCAGGGCATGTGAGATAACCGGGCCTTTTATCAAGACTTCATAAGTACTTGTCGAAGACATACCATTTTAGAGTCGTTTAAGCCGCGCTCTATCATCGAATCCAGGTAGTATGCATCGCTGTCATTCCAACCTAGAAATGGAATTCCTTCGTAAAGATATAGACAGCTCTATCCACCAGCCAGATAAGACGCGCGACCACCGTTCTCGAGTATACCGTAGCTCGGTCCGTATGGACGTTGGCCGTTTTTGATCATCTCCTTCGGAGGGTCGCGTGTGGTGGACAAGCGACTCGTGGTCGCGGTGAAATCCCAATGCACGCGCCACGGTCTCGGCGGATACGGCGAGCCCGAAGCATTTCTATAGTACTGCCTTGACCACTCATTCACGACACCTTCCCCTCGTAGCGGACACAGTGCTTCGTTTCACGACTCCTGTTGGTCAAGATCGTGGCTGTGCTCCTGGCCTCCATATGGTGTCTTCAGCCAGCTGGTCAATGTACCCAAGCACATACGCACACTCCTCTGCGGGTTCTGTTCCACTCGGTGACCGGCCGAAAATCTCGAGTGAAAAGCGATATTTTACCATTGGCGCTCCGACTGTCCCGTCGCGCCGGCCGAAGCACGCCCCCAGTCGATAAATGAAAACTAATCTCGGTATTGCCTCGTCCAAGGATCGCTGTCCCAGCCCTCGACCGAAAACTTGAGACACTCTGGTCTTGGCGTTGTCGTATACCCCAGGAACAGCAGTCCGGTTGGACCGCCTTTCCATGGTTAAAATGCGTGAGGAGAGTCGAAATCGGGAGGTGGCCGAGGGGACCCCAGCATTATATAGAGGACGGGATTGGCCCCCGCACCACGCCTTTCCTGCGAGCCAAAACACTCCAGGACACCATCCGTAGCGGCAACACGCGGCCGAGGGCTCAGCCCGCTGTCGTCATTGTGAGTCTGCTATAGGCAACAGAGGACGGCTACACGGAGCACGAAAGGACGCGAACCAAATACGTGGGGTTTCTACAGAACACGATTCAGTCCAGCGGATTTTGAGATGAGAGAGGAGGTTCCTATCTACGGCAATTCTCGTCGTGGCAAAAGGCATTTGCTCTAGAGTGCAGTCAAACATAGTAAGTTACATAAGATCCACCCTGTTCGACACTTGGTATTTCACCGTACCGATGGTTTCGTAAAGACTGTAATCTCGCCGCGTCGCTATCACAGTCACGGCACACACCTCCTCCTTGGCCGATTACAGAGGAGTGAGATCAAGTGGCGACTTGGCACCGTTAACACTATTGACTTGGAAATTGTCTTCTCTCTTAAACGCCCTATAACTTATACGGTATAATTGGCAGCCCTTTATTCTTGAACAGCTAAGTATGCATCTAGTGGACTAACTGGTTTATAGTCCCCAGGCTGCTGTAGTGTACCTGTTGGGTGCCTAATAGGTGTCAGTTACCACACACTCCTAATTACGGTCCAGCAGCACTATTGGTGCAATGCGGTGCATCAGAGGTATTGGCAGCTACGCCAACGCACAAGCCCCACCAGGATGAAAGTCGTTCTGCGTCCTTCTTCCTTCAGCGCCCGGAGGATATTATTGACGTAGTATGCCGGCGCATAGATGAGCTTAACTAGGTGCCTTCCAACTTGCTAAACATCGAGATGTAACATTCCCCATTGTAGAATCGTAAGGTACCTGTAATTATAAGAGCTCGTAGTGGGGTTCCTCGGCTAAGTTGTGCCTGGCTATTGCCTATCTTCCCGTCAAAAGCCTCAATAGGTCCTAGGGGGGCTCAATGGAACCAAAAGAGGGGATGGGCCCGTGAGATATGCCATTGAGGGCAGGCGATTCGGAGGAAGCATTGCGCATTCCGTTGTTCGGCGGAAGGCAAAAATGGATAGAAATCATCTCGCCGACTCTCGTACAGCAGTCGACAGTTTATTCCTATCAAAACACGAAGGGGGCTCAGCATGGAAGGACAGCCCGGAGAGGACGAGGACCAATTGTACAATTGAGGCTGACCATCCTGGCTTGAACAGCCCGATGTGGTTGGTTCCTGCTTATTCCGATACACACCTGCGCAATGAGAAGGTGCTGGCGCCTGGCGAGAACAACAGAATGAAAGGGCAGTGCAAGAAACAAAGCAAGAGGGAAATCGCTTTCTTCATCTTGCATTTCCACTTTCTCTCAAAATCCGACCTCGCCACATTAAATTACATTATCATCAGGCACGACGGCAAATGGTATCCGCTCCCTGTCTTCGAGTTCCGCCCCCGCAGCCGCCAGGGGCGCGCAAAGGGCAGGAAGTGGAATCCATCAGCGACACCGCATCCAAGGCAGGCAAGGCACGGCGCCGAGTTCTTCTCTCGTTCGATGAGCTGCCGGAATGGTACCGACGTGAATGGATTCTCCGTGACTATCGGCCCATCTCAGGCTCGGCTCACGCTTCATTCTTCAGTTGGTCGTATATCCACAACGAGTCGGTCAACATCTATTCCCACGCCATCCCGGCTATTTTCTTCCTACTCGGCGAGTGGTATATCCAGCAGTACCTTGCCAGCAGATACTCCGGGGTCACTGGCGCCGATTTCATTGCTTTCTCCGTCTTCATGTTGGCGGCCGTCACGTGCCTGTCGTTGTCGGCGACGTACCACACCTTGATGAACCACTCCCGACAGGTGGCACATTTCTGCCTGCGACTGGACATGCTGGGTGTAGTGATCTTCATACTAGGAGACCTTATCTTAGGAATATACATAGTTTTCTGGTGTGAACCTTTGCCGCGCAATATCTACTGGTTTCTGGTCAGTGAATCTCCATGCGCACAGTTTTGTTTTCCTCATCTCAGACCTGGGACTCGAGTCTAACACTCTTCTTTCCTCGCTGATAGATTGGAGTTGTCGGGACGTTGACCATCTTCGTGACAATGCATCCCAAGTTCCAGGGCCCAAAATTTCGCCTCTTCCGAGCATTGATGTTCGTGGCAACTGGCTTGTCCGGTGTGGCGCCCTTGATCCACGGACTCAATGTGTTCGGCATGTCGCAGATGATGAGAAAAGCTTTTCCTTATACTCTGGCAAAAGCAGGCTGCCTTCTATCTGGGACTTCGTTTTATGCAGTAACTCTCCCAGTTCCGCACACGAGAGAAATTGGCCCTAACACATATGGTTCTAAGACCAGGTTTCCGGAAAGTCGATATCCCGGCGAATTCGACCTATGGGGCTCCCATTCACTCTTTCACATCCTGGTGGTATGCGCCGCTGTGGTCCAATTGATGGGGTACCTGGATGCCTTCGACTATGCTCACGCAAATCTTACTTGCTCGTCTCTTTGAGTTATGTATACATGCCGAGTATGGAGTTTCTGGCAACTGGGACGGGCTTCCAAACGCCGACTATGACATTCAGCGGCTGCTCCCTTGTGATGGAGGGAGTTCGTCAAAGTGGAGGAGCTCTCATATTAGACTAGGTGTGGACTTTCCATATATAAACAAAAAGTTTAGTGGATTTCGCCTTGAGGACCTGGATGGCTCTATGAGCCTTCTCGTCTCGGAATGCGTCGAACGTTCAATCAAGCATGTTGTCCCATCTACGATCATCTTTCATCTTGTCCAGATACTTTCCGCAATGGTGAGGTACGCCGCTTTTTCCTGCCATGCCAACAAGCCGGCGCTTTGGTAGCCGTCTGGGGGATGCCGCGAGCGCGCGTCTGATGTAGGTGAGGATGAGGATGACTGTGTTGTAGCTTCATCGTGCCCTGAGGTAGAGGAAAAACAAGGATTCGGAGCTTGATCGGTCGGGAGAGGCGGAGGGCATGCCGATGGTGTCGGAGTCAGTGCAGTTGTGGACGTAGTGGGAGCACTTGATTGCGAGTCTGTTGGTATTGGTAGAGTCTCGCTTGTCCCCTGATCATCGGTCTTGATCCGCTTGGGCCGATCAGGTAGGTCTGAAGAAGCAAGGCGCTTCCCCTTATCCGGAGTAGACTCGATAATGCCTCTTCCTTGACCATCAGAGGAGAAAAACTTTCTCTTCTTCGCCCGACAGGGTGAGGAATCCTCCTTCTCTTTCCTCTGACGAGCAGGTGTGCCATCAAGCCTCGTCATGCCCTCAAATCCGAAGAGAGGATCAAAACTAACGAACACGAGTGCTCTTTCGTCATGCCCTTCTACGATAGGTGGACCCGCCATGTAAATGAGGCCTTCATCTCCCAGCTCGGCCTTCACTTCACCGGCCCGCCCCCCTGGGCAGAGGATGTCATGCAGCGATTGAGGTGCACTGTCCGGTGGCCAGAGTGATATGTGACTCGGGGAAAAGGGCGAGATTTCACTGCGACTCACCACACGTAGCTTGATACGTTCCGTGGCGACAGGGTTGTCATCCGCTTTAAACTCCTCTGTGACGATGTCGACAAATGACTGCGAGTTGAAACAATATCCATTCCATTTGGTTTTCGCCCTGATGTATTCCTTCACACTCCCGGACGCACCTGCCTCTGTATGTACGTACTTTGCAGCTCTATGCCTTGATGGCTCAAACCGACTATTATTTTCTTGATTCAAGGTCTTGCTCAGGGGATCATCGGGTGGATGGCGTAAGCCGTCTGTCGACTCGGGATTCTCAGCCCGATGGAATGGCCGTGAGTAGAATGTTCGGGAAGAGCGACTGTCACCGTTGATCCATTCCTTACGGCATTCAATAATCAATAACTCGCCAGTGCGATGATCGTTTTGAAATTCCAGCACGGTCCAAAAGTCATTGATTGGTCCCTCCACGTGTTGTCGACGCCATATCACTCGTATTGTCAGATCCGGAGACGGCTCGTTCAGAGGAAAGCCGATAAAGCGATAATAGCTCGTCCAGTCAACCTCCTCGTGTTCCAGGCTTGTCTGAGTAGTTACAGCGTAGAAGTGTCCCTCAAAGATAGTAAAGCAAGCAGTAGATCCAATTTCCGACCCGTCGAAATTTCGTAGCTGCAGAGGCTCCTTGCTTACTGCTTCCCCCATGGACAGCTGATAAACTTCCAGAAGCCATTCACGGTGGTCATCTATTCCTCGTGCCGATTGTGTCCCGTAGACTAGGTGTGTGGAATCATGTCTGACGAAGAGTTTGTTGGTTGAGCGAACTCTGACGCAAAGCAGAATTCGATCATGTCTCGAGCCCTCGGGGCATCGCACTGACGGCTCGAAGTCCTCGTCAACATTGACTGCAAACAAGAAGTGTCCAAGGACTCCGAAATTGCAGAGACAAGCTACAATCTTGTCGGAGTAACTGCAAACCTGCACCGATCTGAGAGCTTCTAGTTCTAGGCTGTCGCCACCCGAGCCCTTGAACGCCAATTCGCTACAGAAGAGCATTCCGCTCAAGACTTTTTCAGTAGCCTTCCCGCTGTTGAAATCGAGGATACGTACTCCCTCATTGTTTGAGTAGCAGAGAACGCCAGCGGCATACACGAAGCTAGTGCCATGTCCTATTATAGTTGCCGAATAAGGCGAGGCATTTTGAATCGATTGTCTTTGGCCATAACATCGACCCAAAAGCTGCCTAAAGCCCACTCTACCCAGTGTTGACAGTGCCAGTCGTGCCCATGTAGAATGAGGGATGCTTCGCTGTTGCTATTAGCCCCAAGCAAAAAAGGTCAGGAGCAAAACTGAAAGCCTCACCTCTAGACATTTCCTAGCCGTGTTCTCATTGCTGAGATGACCATAGAGCACAGAGCATGTCTCTCTCAAGTTGTGGTAAGATCTGATATCAAGGTGTCGAGCAACGTGATGAAGAACGTCAAAGGGGAGATCAACAAGCATATCTGGTGACGGGAGCCTTGCAGATGGCCGGAACACATGTAATATCCTTCTGAATGAGGCTATCTTGGGGAATTGAGGAATCCAATGCTGATGGCTGATTACAAGGCAACTTTGAACTTTGCAGCCATGGTGGGGGCTTCTAGCATTACTTGTGATGGAGGCTGAAAGTTTTGTAGAGAAGGGTAGATGACGCTAATCGATGGGGGGAACTGTGGAGAGGTCATTCAGAGCAGAGCCGCATCCACGTCGGCCAGAAGCTCATTCTGGGGCGTAAAACATGCAGGAGAGTCCACAGATTCCCGTATCCCCGGGAGAGGACGAACCAACCACGCGCACCATACCAAGGATGGGCACCTTGGCAATGTGGCTACCTTAACATCCAATCGGGCTGGTTCTGTAGTCAACGAAGTGTTGTCGATATACGATGATTTGAAGGAGATTTAGGTTAGCGGTCTAGATTTGTCACGTGCAGAAATCTCGAGCCAGAATCGAATAGAGCTTCTCCAGACGAGAACGACAATTCAACTTTCATATCAAATAGCGTGCAGTGACCGTTGAGCAGACCGATAGCATGCATGATCAGTCCTCCACCCTTCTGGATGCTCTTATTCTTTTTAATGATTTTGATCTTGAAGATCCCCTACAGTATCACGCTGATCTAGCATTGAGAGCTTTCGGCGGGCCATTCAACCGCCAAGGCCTTGACTTATTTAAGCTAGATCTAAGTCAAGTTGCCCATAATTTATGGTCTCCAAGTTTTCAGATTCTTATGGGAGCGTGTTCTTTGAAGGTATTGGCAAGAAAATGGACCCAACAATCGTAGGATCGAAGGAAGGCGTACAGTAGCCCAGTCATCAAGTCTCTTTCATAATTGAGGTGAGGATCCTTAGATGTAGGTGGGATGTCTCATCGTGCTGCTGTCCTTTGGGCTAACCGATGTGGGCCGACCCATCTCGGTCATTGATCTGAATGTGTCAACCGGGGGATTTATGCTAGGAACGGAGAGAAGCTGCAATTGAGGGACATGAGTGAGAGTAAATTAGATGAAACAACACCTTATGTAATGGGAGAGGTTACCTTTGTCGCTATGGTTGGATGGATGTGTCATGGCCAAAGAAGTTTGCCTTTTCTACGTACTAACGTTATACAGTAGAGCATTGCCGTTCTCTCATGCATGTTTACTGCCAACCTGAAGCGCGATACACCACCTCTGAGAACTCTATATCAAGTAAAACGTATCTACTGCACAAATGTGTGTACTGTACATACGGTAACATCGGATAGTCTGAGCACGACCTGGGCTCCAGCCAATGGTATGCAAGATCATACGAAATCAGCTGATTGGTCCCGTCATTCGTCCGCGGTCTTATTCGTCCTTTGTCCAGAGCACGACCGGCTTGGAATGAGCGAAGAGAATCGTTAAGAGGAGGTCGGGGGTCGTCTGGTTTTGCGACCTGAATCGACATAGCGAAGCATCCGACCATTGATTCGCGAGATGGACGGAAGCCTTCGTCAGGTCTCCGACTTCGCCACCTTGATCGTCCTGTTTCCTCTCTCTCCGTGGTACAGGACTGGTTGTTGCTCTCGTTGGCTATGCGCTGTTTTTCAGCCCCCTCTCGAAGTATCCCGGGTCTCTCTGGGCGCGGTGCTCCTCGATCCCGAACTTGTACCACGCGTACGCGAAAGATATCCACCTACACATCTCGAAGCAGCATGAAATTTACGGTGATTCCGACCCTCGAGGCTTTTTGGGCGTCCCTGACCGCCGGATAGGAGACGTGGTTCGTTACTGTATGGACCAAACCGCCTTTGCTTTTGTTCTCCTCAGGCTTACTGGGGTATTTAACTCCCCCATCACCGGAAGCTGTAAACTGACCCACTAGACATATATAAAGGACTCGCGCTTAAGAGTGACGCCTATGTTCACCACCCCTTTCAGAAGCAGGAACACATCACCTTCACCACGACCGACCCTCAAGGAGCTCGTCGCCTCAGAGGGCTCCTCGCACCGGCGTTCGACTAGAAGACCCTGAGGGCGCTCGACGGAAGATTCACTCTGTCAGATGTTATTAGGCACCGGAAGCCTTGACAGGGCCATCGACGGCTGGTCGGACCCGGTCGACGTGGGCACCACTAGTGAGTCGATCCCGGGGGAGGAGGTGGAGAACTTGGCTGACTTCTGAGGTTTTCACTTTACCCTGCGCCAGCCGCAACACAGATGGATGGTGTCGGCGCTCCTCGACAGCAACCACTACATGTATCTCTATTTTGCATGGCCGGGGCTGTTCGGGTCGAGAGTGCTCAACTGGCTCCGCGTGAGGGACTGGCTCTTCCCCGGAATGGCAGAGGACTCACGAAGGTTCGAGAAGGTGGTCATAGACCTCCGTCACAGCCTCGACATCCATCCTCCCGAGGTCGGGTTCTATTCCGCTCTGCGGTCAGCAAAGGACCCGCGCAGCGGGCAAGGGTTTCTTAGAGGCGGGGAATTGGGAGGAGGTGAAGATGTTGACCCGAGCTGGTAAGGGAGCCTCCCTCCGCCACCCACCTGAGATGATTGAACGGAGATAGGTGCTGACACCATGTCCGTCGCGATCGCCGCCCCATTGCACTACCTCTTGTCTACACAGAATATCAACAAGTCGTCGCGGGGGAACTCCATGAGCAATTTGGTTCCCACAAAGAGATATTCCCGGGGGGCAAAGCTAGAGAAATGGGAGCGGCCGTGATCCTCGAGTCACTCTGGATGACACCGCCCATCCCCGGCTGTTCTGGAGACTGCCCATGGCGTCTATCAGTACACCCTCCATCACTCTACCGAATATTTCCCCGAGCCGGAGAGATTTCTTCCCGAGCGCTTCCTTCCGCCAAAGGCGTCCCCGTCTCATCCGGGAGGAGCATTTAACCCGTTTTCCCGGGGGCCGTGGCCGTGTCCCGCGAGAAAATTTGCGGAGTGGCAAGTCTCGCTTTGCCTTGCTCGAATCATCGATGGAGAGCGACGCCACACACCGCGCTATGACGTGGGCGACGTCTTTACCGCCGAAAAGAAGGGGCTCGTACTCAAATTTCGACGGCGTGGCGTCGTCGATCGCCCGGAGAACTCGACAGGAACGAACACTTCCATGTGACTCGGGCCATCCTGAAACGAGGATAAAGGGGAGCGAACACATGTGATGACACGGTTGTGGGTGCATGAGAAATCAAAATTCTTGCCTTGTGAGGTAGGTAGAGCACCAAGGTAGTTTATTTGTATCTCCCGGGGTCTCATGGCGTTGATGATACAGTAGTTATTGTCTGTTTGTATTTATTATACTTCGTGTGAAGAGCTGATAGAGTAAGTATTCGTGGCACCCTAGTAGTGACATAGCATAGATCAAGGCCACCCCAACTTGGGGGCCGTGGGCCTCTGCAATCACCACCCCACACGGAACTTTGAAGATGTTTTGAGAGATTGTTGGGGTGGGGAACGTGGATGATAGTAAGGTGGATTAACGTCGCCGGTCCTTCTGGGCCCAGAGGTTGAAACTCCTCAGCGGTTAAAAGAACCGCACGGCGGGGAATTAACCAATAACAACTGGTCGTTGGTAATGACCCAAGACAACCTTCAGAATACCATGATACAGTAGTCTAGTGCACGCATAGAAGATCCAGGAATCATCCCTCACAGCTTACCAGACGCATGTCCACCATCGCCCTAGTACCAGTACCAAACCACTTACGACGACGACATTATCAGTATACAGTAGCGTTAGGTATCAGTAAGATATCTGTGTCAATAGAGCGCACCAGAGCACGGATAAGTTCAGTATAATCATCTCTGACGTTCCTGCTATCAACGTCTCATACGGCCAGAGATAGACCCTTGTCTTTCCTAATACGATTCCACACCATTAGATAGCTTTTAGAATGCCAAATAATCCCTCCTCAAGACCACAACAATAGAGGACTAGATGGAAATAATTTCTCGGACGCTCTCAGGTCTCTTTGAAGATTTTGATTGGCTCTAGCTAAGCCAAAGAAGAGTTGGCCTCACCCGCAAGGAACGTGACATTGCCAAGTACAGGTGCCACTTACGGCATGCACCACCTCACTTTCTCTCACACTCACACACACACACACACACACACACACACTCTCTCTCTCTCTCTCTCTCTCTCTCT